TCTTCACCAAAGCACAGAAGAGCCGCAGAAAGACTTTCTCTCTCATGCAGATTGTCTCTGCCTGCTGACATCTCCCAGAGGGACATTACGATCAAATCCCGACTCTTGTGAAAACCACACACATAGAAGGACGCATCTGTTGCCATGTTCTTCAGAAGGGAGCGTTGGAAACCTTCCCTCCTCACTCCCGTTACACCCTGATTTTCAGAGTTTACCCTTCCCAGCGTGATTCGCGGTCTCCCTGCCTGATCGCCAATGGGGAACAGCCCACAATTCTGCACACACAATAGTTTCCGTGCAGCCACCAGAATGGAAGAGAGAACGCATGGAACTGCTCAGGAACTCAGCCAAAAGGTACTGCCCATTTCTCTTTGTCTTTCCCTTGCAAATTGCCCTCGAGCCCACAGCTGAGGGTCCCAACCTCTCGGGATTCCTCCCGTCTGGAAGTCTGGCTTCTCTTCCCCTTGTTTACGATGCTATAAACGCTTCCGTGCACCCTCGAGGGAACTAGGCGCTCTCCAGTGCCCTGGCATCATGCCATCTCCCCCTTGTTCATCCTAACAAGGAGGCTTCCACACAACCTTTGCTCCCCTGGTCGCGGCTCTTCTGGCAGCTGGTCTCCAGCTCTGGGAAGATTTTTTTCCCCTCCGGTCACCAGTGACTTTGGCCCTGTTCTCCGAGGTCCGTCCCATAAGTGTCACAGCAGGAAGGAGACTGGCAACAACCTCCCAAAATCTTGTCCTTCGCCACCCACCGCCCTCTCAGCTGCACTCCCACGGAGGCATTTTCCTCCAGACCTGCATCCCCCAAGTCTTCCACCCCAGCCTGCTGCAAGAGCAGTGGGCAGAACCGGCAGGGCGTGCCTTCCCTCGGTTCCTCATCCGCACACGGGGCTAGCCCGCCCCGGAGGTCAGCCTGCCGCTTGTGCTTTTTGCATGTCCGTGGACGCCTAAAGCCAACAGGAGCTGAAATCTGTGCTGGGAAACTCTTCCCCTAAGTTACAACCCTTCACCGGTGCTCCCGCCGGCAGTACTTCCATGCTGGAGAGGGAGGCCGCAACTGACAGATCTGGAGACTAAACTGTCCCTGTATCACCCAGCGCAGGTCCCGCTGCTGACTCACAAGAGGAATTTGTGTGAGCACTTGCAAGGATCTATAGACACCTCTCTGCTGGAAGCAACAGAGCCCCCCAAACGTCATTTCACATTGGTCACCAAGGAGTAACAATATGGTAACAGCACAGAGTCACTGAGATTGGAACCAATGACCCTTTGGTTACAGGCTCTATCCCCCATTCCTAGTCCCCTTTTCGATGCCTCTCCCCTTGTACATTCCTATAGTTTCTCAGCCTGCTCCAGGTATATTAAATGAGAAAGCAGATACATTAGGTGTAACTTTTTCCTCTATCACACTCTGGAAAATCAGAGCTTGTTCCCGCGTTTGTCACACAGTCGGCAGTCAGAAAGACCGTTCCCACAGGGCCCATCAGGCCTCACGGATCTCCCCTTCCAGGGGGTGTCCCAGGCTTGGCTGCTAGTTCTCCTCACACACTGGGGAGGAGAGGCCTTGCAGGCTCCATCAAGCGGGACTGCGTGAGGAGAGACTCCGGCCTTGTGTGCTAGGCCAGTAAGACATCTGCTTAGTACGAAGGAAGGCCCGCACTCTCGCTCGCTGCTGCCTGGGGAGAGCCAGAGCTGGAGGAGCAGAATTTGGAA